TAACGAGAGAGAGAGAGAGAGAGAAAAAAAAAGAAACAGGCCAAGCTTAAACTTAAACCTTTGATCATTTAAAAGTTGTAGTATATCAGTTTTACCAAAGAAACATTACACAGTTGCTGACTTGACGTCAATTTTTTACATTGTTGTGGAAGGTACTAGCAAGAAAACATGTATATGAAGTATTATCCATTTGGATATGACTGTACCGTAATACTATATCTGAATGCTACACTTTTACTATGCAACTGCAGTGACACCTGCAGGTGTCTCACACGAGGAAAAATGTTTAAACTGTTCTTCTCAGTTCTGTATCCTTTTCTATATTTCTTGATTACACAAGATAAAAGAGAATTTCTTAACATAGAACTTACAATTTTTTTCAGCAAAGCATTGGAATTGTATATAAAACCAGACTAAGATTGTGACAAGACAACGAGTCCCTTCTGTTTTCTGCCACACTTGCAAGTGTAGTCCCAGAAGCTTCCTCTTTCAATGCAAGAAGGGTATAGGTAAACCATAAATTGGAGAGATTAACTATCAGAACTGAAAATAGAATAAAATAGCACACAACATACTTAGGGAAACAAAGGCTTCTGTTAAGATATATACATATGTTTTCAGCCTTTTAAAGTGCTTCACTTGTAATTTGTAGACAAAATTATATCCATGGTTCTCAGAATACACTGCCTTGCAAATGTATTCACCCCTACCGATAATGTGAAATTTTGATGAAATACAAATAATGTAAAAAATTTTTTAATGAACTTGTTTTTATTCATAACTCTAATGATCAAACTGAACACTGTTATGTGTGAAGGAGGTTGAATGTCAGTAAAAGCTGCAAAGAAAATATGTAAATTAAAATTTGCTGATTTCATAAGTAATCAGCCCCCCTAAGTCAGTACTTGGTGGAAGACCTGTGGTAGCAATTACTGCTGTGAGTGTTTTTGGATAGGTCTCTACCAGCTTTGCACGATGGGGTGGTGTCATGTTTGACCCATTCTTCTTGGCAAAATTACTCCAATTCTGACAAGTTCGTTGGAGATCGTTGATGGACTGCAATCTTCAAGTCTCGCCATAAATTTTCCATTGGAATCAAGTCATGACTTTGACTAGACCGCTTCAGGACATTCACTTTCTTCTTTTATATGGCTTTGACTTTGTGCTTCTGGTCATTGTCCTGCTGAAATGTGAATTTTTGAACAAGTTTTAGATTCTTGGGCTGGCTCAAGCAGGTTTTCCTCTAGGATTTGCCTGTACTTTGCATTATCCATCTTCCCCTCAGTCCTGAGAAACTTTCCAGTCCCTGATGTTGAGAAGCATCCCCATAACATGATATTGCCACCACCATATTTGACAGTTGGGATGGTTTTGACTGGGTGATGTGCTGTGTTGGGTGTTGAATTTAGACCAAAAAGCTTAATTTTTGTCTCACGTGAGCACAAAACCTTCTGTCACATGTCTTCAATATCATTTACGTGCTATGTCGCAAACTCCATACGAGATTTAAGATGATTCTTTTTCAGTAATGGCTTCTTTCTTGCCACTCACCCATACAGGCCAGCTTTGTGTATGGACCAGGATATTGTCCTTGTATGCACTGTTGCCCATCTCAGACATGGAACTTTGCAGATCTTTGCATAGTTTGGAAGGGCGGCCTGATCTTGGTAATGACGGGGTAGTTTGAAGCACATTCTACTTCTTAATGATTCACTTCACTGTACTCAAAGGGATAATCAGCGACTTTTAGATTTTCTTGTGACCTTATTTTGATATATGCTTCTCTACCACTTTATCCCTGACTTGTTTTGAAAGCTCCTTGGTCTTCATGGTTGGTGCGTCGTATCACTTTGTGAGTTGTGGCTTGAACAGATGCATTTACTCTGACTTCAGGTTAAACCATTTGGTTATACACAGACCATTACACTAATTTTGTGACCTTTCAAATTAATATTTTGCACTTGAACTGATTTAGGGTTGCCGTAGTAAATATGTTGATTGAATATATTTGCAATTGAGAATATTTTAATTTTCTTTGAAACTTATCTTACTTTCATAATATCAGGGTTTTTTAGTTTTATCAGTTTGTAGTAGATTGTGTAGATTCTAAATATAATGTCCCAATTGAAAGTTTCGTGATTGCCAGCTGAGATGGAAATAAAATGTGGAAACTTTGCAGGGGCGGTGGATACTTTGTAAGGTACTGTAACTCGATCTGATAGTTTGAAATTTAGGACAACGGGAAACAATTCGATTTCCATTTCTTACCTATTCACAGGTGTTATGCCATAAAGGTTACAAAGAAAAAAAGGTTATGGTTGCAGTTGTCTTGGCTGTTGTATATGAAAAGTCCACTCCCTTCTGTGAAATCATCTGTATATCTTTTTTTTTTCTTTTTTCTTTATAAAGGCAAGTGGTTTCTGCAGCGGTAACAAACGTAATTAAAACTCTTTACTATTCCTAAATTATTGTACTTGTATGTTTACGGCAAATATAGAAAAATAATGCAAAAAAAAAGTCTTCACTGATGATTAACCTTTAAAGTAAATAAATTGTCAAGGTCAAGAATACTACTACGACATTGGTCAATTTTACTTTGTAAATAAATTGTCAAGGTCAAGAAGAATACCAGATCTAGTAATCGTCCAATGATAACTACTATTGTTTAAAGTTCTGAGATATTTATGAAATTGATTTTTTCTGTGAAGTGTGAACATAAATTACTGGTTTTACTTAGACAGACAGTTTGATCACAAGCCTTCCAGATTGGTCAATTCGGACGACTTATTGAGGTGCATGAGCCTACTTTACTTCATTACTTGATAAACTTAATATAAATACCTAATTATACATAGTGGCTATCTTGACGGTGCTGTGACTTTTACCAAACAAAATAAGTTTCATACAGTGTATTTTGGATATGGAATAAAAAATTTTCAAGTTCAATTTATGTACTTTCCAACAGATTTTGACCTTCACGACATTGGTCAATGTAGCTGACCAATGTAAAAATAATAAAACGCAGGGTAACTTTTACCCTGATGGTGTAACGATCTGTATTATGAAGCGATTTTTTTTTAACCTTTATTTATGTAATCTTGTACAGAAACTGTATCCGTGTGGACATTATGTTTACTACTTTGAATATAAAATTGCCAGAAATTGCAGGTTAGAGCGACCGGTTACGGCCACTGACATTGAAACACCTGTGTCAAAACATGTGCTGTTTGGGGGGTCGGTTTCTTTTGAAAATTTGAGGTATGAGAGCGGAGTTAAACTTGTGAGGTTGGTGACCTGTTACCTTCTTAGAAGACAGAATGTACCAAGAACGAATTCTATCCCTGAGAATTGGCATAAGTTCCGAGTCGGCAAAAGATTAAGAGGATAACGATCCCTCCAAGCGTTATAGTAGAGCTTAACATGAAACGTGGAGTAGTAAGATCGTACATAATGTAACAAGGTGTACAATAATCATTGCTGTAAATCTAAGTAACCTGGTATGAGAGTTGAGTATAACTTAAGAATTAAGCATCATGTCCAAGTCTGAGATAGTGAGAATAAGAAACGGGAGAGAACTCACGGCGCACTTTACAGTCAGAGAAGCTGGACAGACAGTAAACTCAGCTTGATACGACACTAAATATATGACCCTATAATGAATACGGTTAGTTTGTCATCAAATATTTTAAACTTTTATGTTTACAGTTCTGTAAACATAAAACAAAAAAAAACAAAAACTAACCATGCTAATGGAATTGAAACATTAAATGACAAGCGTCATAGTAGGTTTATTAAAACTACAAGGATTAAAAGTACCCACTCTGAGCTGTAATTCAGTGAAATGCTTTCAAATGAGTCAAAGGTAATATTAAAAGTATGGGGTGAGTTAATGGATTATGAATGAGGATTCAGTGAGTTTGAGCTCAGTGTCAAAATATTATTCAACGTTAGAAGTGAAATTTATCAAGTCTATTTAGTTACTCAATTGATTAGCGAGGAAATTCTGTGAGGCCTAAATATTTTTTATCTTGTAATTACTGTTGAAATGTTTTTTGCGCACTTAGGCCTACAACTGCACATGAAATCAACCTGTACTAAACGTTAAGGAAGAGATAAACTAATTTGGTATATTTATATGGACTGAAATTGGCGTATCTTTTACCAAATAATCCAACAAAAAACTCACATTATAATAAAACACAATACAATACTGGTGTCGGAAATGGTATTATTTTGGTGAAAATAAAATTAGAACTTTGACTAAACTTCTAGATGACAACAAGATCAGAAAGCGAGATCGAAACGTTGCTGGAAATGAAGAAACTGTGGAAACAAGATTAAGAAGAAAGAGATAGAAAATTTGAAAAACGTGGTGAATAGTTACAGAAGACCAACAAGAAATGTATAGAAAAACAAGAAATAACAACAACATAAAATTTGAAGAATCAGACAAAGTTAAAAGATGGCCAACAAGGATTCAAGGTGTAGAAAAAGAAATCAATTACAGAATAAACAATTGGAAATAGAATTGGTAAGTGTAAAGATCTAGCCAGCCACACACATTTTTACATTTTCCCAAGAGCTCTAACCTAAAACACCAAGTAAAATTAATGTAGAATAGATGAACCTATTTGGTCGCCCGTTAACACTACTGCTTTGTCATCTGTGACTGCAAGACCTGTCCAGACTACTGCAGCCATAACATTACTACTTCAGAATTTATGATTGAAATTACCATGCAAGGCATGTCAGGCTCACTATGACATGATTTCTAGCGTTAATGGGTGGAGTAGTGAATAACAAGTTATTAATTTTGCTGCCCATTTAAAAGGACCAAGATTAGCAATTTTATGCAACGTTCCAGCTCAGAACTGGAACTATCAAATATTTGTAGCTGCCTTATCCAGCAAGTTCAGAGTGAAACACCAAAAGTAAATATTATGTAAAGCAAAGTTTCATATCAGGGAAGGGAGGAAAGAAGATACCTTAGCCGAATTTTTGCAAGACTTCGAAAGACTTGCACAACTGTTTTACCTAGATATTTCACATGAAACGATGGATTCGTTGGTTATGGATGCCATGTCAGATTAGGATATGAGAAGTAGGTTGAAGCAAAGTAGGTGCACATCTCTAAAGGAAACTTTGCAGTTGACAGTCAAATTTCAATCCATTAAAGTTGCTGAAAAACCATTAAAGACACCATCTAGAAGTTATGGAATCATCAAATGAAGTAGTATTGAAACATCAACTCCCCTTAACGATAGTTAAGAACTGAAAGTATTAGACAGCTAGTCACACAGAATAGAGGAGATACACCACAAAGCAGTAAATGTTTCAAAAGTATTACAGGGAACTGCCGACAAAAGCCTGTATCTGAAGGATCCAGATCGAGCATAAGTGTTACTTCCCATGTAGCAAGTTGAAGTACAACTATGCAACCATCACAAGTCAAGTCGTTTTTGTGGATGCTCATAATTTCTGCTACCTGTATGAACGGTTACAAGTGCAGAAAAGTGTATTGTTATTATAAACCACCATGACTTGGTTCTCAATCCATGTTGCAGATAGTGATCCCTAGAATTCTTAGGCATGAGTTACTTTAGGCTTTGCTAAATGCAAAGACTGTAGGCTATTGGAATGTTCTTCATAAATGTTCTAACTTGCAAAAGCAGTTTTTATGGGTACGTTCATGTCAAGACTTGAGCAATATCAAAAATACTCTACAGTGGTGCCCAGAGGAAAAATTGGCCAAGACAGGGTAAACTTCAGTAGAGAGTTGTGGGTTCTCATTGAAGAGAATAACTTTGAAGATATCTGGTCCCTTCTGGAGACTACAGGAGTTAGTCGATATGTGCTGGTCATTGTTGATAACTAAGTGGAAAAAGCTTATCCATTAGTCGATACATTAGCACTGATGTGTTGGCTAAACAATGGATAGCATGATTCAGAGCACTTGATGATGTCCACAAAAGTTAAGGGGCTAATTCAAGCAGCCAAGTGTTTCCTGTATTGTGTCAAGTGTTGGGTGTGGTGAAGATGTATTTTGCAATATCATCCCAGTGGCGAATACGAATGACTTAATTGACTTAAATGAATGCTTAGTATATGCATTGATGGTATATTGTGCAACAGAAAAGAAGTTGATCCGACCTTTTGCCCAACTTGCTCAAGTTTGGGTGATAGATAAGCTTCCTATAGGCATGATGTATGTACCACAGTGTTTATAAGTGATGTAGTTGAGACCTGCATTAACATGCATGAAATTCCACGTCAGCAGGTAGGAAAGGCCACGGGATGCAAGAAAAGATAATAGGATAAAGCATTGATGGAATGAGAGTTTGAATGAAGATACTGGATATGGCTATTGTACATGCCTTGGCACCAAAACGTCTTGGCTTCTACAGAGCTGATTCATATCTCGTTTTCTGACAACTCCGTGCATTAAAATATAACTTGGTTCCAGTTGGAATGGTTCTTATTTCATTCTTTGACAACTCTGCAAAAATACTATGAGCTGTAGAATCCATATGTCATATGTAAACACATTTAACATGTTGACAAGCTGATGCCATACATCACCAATGTTCCTTTTTTGCACTGGTTAGATCATGAATCAAGGGCTGCTGTGTTATATAATACCGAGAGTGCTGTTTTATATCATCTCAACTCAGCTGGTGAGGAGGGAGAAGGTAGAAGTACATATTTGGTGGTCGAGATGAATCAGTTGAAAAAAACATCACTGTTGGAACTGTGCATCAACTCTGTTCGGCAGCGTTTCTAAAAGAGATTGAATGTTATGATTGAATTAACTACCGGATCAGCAGTTAATACAACAATTTGATTATAAGATCAATTAAAATTAATAGCATTCCTTAATTTCTGAGAATCTAGCAGTGTTTTGCAATGAGATGTTTGTATGATATTGGGTGGGCTGTTCAGTTTTTTTTTTTATTTAGGACAGCTGAACACAATAGATATTAGGTTAGAAGATTAAAAATTTGTAGAATTTGAGATGATTGCTAGGAATTCGAAAACTAAGCTGAAAGGGAGTTGTGACCGTTTCTTTGGGATTTGCTGTAATTATAGCAGAATTCAACAGATAGAGAAAGTTATGAAAATATTAGCTTGTGATAATCCTAGAAAGGAGTGCATGATCTGTCCATTTTGTCTAAGAAAAAGAATCTTCATTGTAGGGGTATTTGACAATATTGAATATAACCCTTCATCAAATAGTCAAACACTCATTGCATGGGTCCTCCATTAGTGTAATTTTGTGTGCAGCTGACAGTAGTGACGAGGAGCTCAATCCCTTTGTGTTTCTACCTGAAAAATATCAAAAACAGCTGTTCTAACCAAAATGTACATTGTAGTTTCAGCTGTTGTGAGAAACCATGAAGTGGAAATCCATGAAGTTTTTCAACTATATGCTGATGATAAACTCGAAGAAGCTAAAACCCAATAATTTTTATTGACAAAAAATAGCTAAAGGTATAAGATACTTTTGACTGGTTAGTCTTTCACACACCACACCCAGAAAAGTCATGGGATATATCTTCTTATAACCAATGACATGTTTTATGTATTCATTGATAAAGGCAGAGGACCTAGGCATGGTTAAACATGCAATGACTGTCCAGTCTATGATCACCAGTCCTGTAAACCATGGGAAATATAGTGTTATCGCATTTGATATTTCTCTATTTGTATATAGAAAGAAGCTCAGTAACAGTGGCCAGATAATTATAACAAGGATGAATTCGTAGATATTGCTGGTAACATATTTATATAAAAAGATTATGGAAAACTCTTGACTTTTTTTAGAATGATATAGATGGTACAAGTCATCATCAGTGTATAAACAGGATATACAAATCATTCCTCACAAGTTATCATATTAAATAAACAAGTTGTGCTCATCAGGTTATTGTTTTAGCACTATTAAAATTACAGCTGATTTCTTTTATAAATACAAATGCAGTAGAGGTACAATGAAATTATCAAAATTGGAGGAAAAAATGTAAACTAGTCTAACACTTTTGTGTGTTTCTAGCAGTGTGACACGGTGCTCCATCTTCCTGGAACAACGTTGTGTTCTTGTCCACGAAACCCGAGGAATAAAATGGCAAGAATCCTTCATCCAATATTTCGACGTATTTCGCAAAATTTATGTT